TCATAATCGAGTCTAGGGGTCAGGTGTAACTTTCGAATTTTGCCCACTAATCACCAAGGTCTAGGGCAATACAAGAAATCTGGTTTGGTTCAGGGTTTCAAGTAAACCTACACTGCATGTACCTCGGGTCTCACCCTGGCAGCTGAGACAGGCTACCCCAACACTTGGCGACACATCAGTGTCAACCTTAGTAGGATAAATTTCCCCAGACTTATCCAATGGCTGTGAACATTCTAAACTAACACGAGTTTCATAAGTGTCCAGTTTAAGGGTATTACACAGAAACACACCACTATAACATGAATCAAATATGTACTTTACAATAAATGTCATAATGTACATTAGTCTGATTGGAGCTAAGGGCATACCGCATAACGACAAGCCTTATCTTCTCCCCGTCTGAATCGGGCGGCGATAATGAAGTTCATTGACTGATATGTTACTCCCTAACTAAAGTGAAAACGGATTTCACCCATTTAGGCCGCAGATCTCGGAACTGTTCCAATAAACCCGCAAGAACTCGGCTATATAAAGGCGTTAACCCCTCCATGGTTTAGGTACGCGTGATTACTTGCACCCAAGCTCTCTAGCACTCAAATTCTAACTCGCAATCACAACATAGTACTGACTTAAGCATCAAAGCAACCTCACCGAGTTAACTGCCCCGAGTGCTCTAATCCTCTGTCTTGCAGCTTAGTCCAGCTCGCTACACGACTAAGGTCCAAATCATCCTCCAAATAGGAGCTTCCAAATCACGTACCATTACTTTCCCTACTTTTTCTTCAAACCAAACATAACCTCAAGGTACCAGCTCACTAGCTAGCTTTCTTATAAAGTTTCTAGCTAGTTAAGATTGATTAGTGCCTTCACCAATGTTGGGGTTTCAAGTAGGGTTCAGATCAAATGGAATCTGATATATATTTGATTCAAAATTGATTTCGATGCAAATTAATACAGCCAAAACCAACCACCAATCAAAAATCACCTCATGGCTATAAGCTAGGGCAAAGTGGTCAATTTACCTAACATCGCTTCAAAGGGCTCGTTGAAGTCTAACCTCTCCTAAAACTAGCTAATCTAGCTAAACCAACTAGATACCAATTGGTGTGGCTGAGCACCATGTGCATAGAATGCTACATGTGGTCGAGTTAATGAAAGCATCAATGCTAACGCAGTTTACACTAGCACAGTGCCCACCACATGCACATAACATGTTAACCAAGGGCATGGTTAGGGGTGAGCATTATTCGATTAAAACCGAAAAACCGAATCGTAAATTTTAGTTTTGATTTTTTCGATTCGATTAATTCGGTTTTTAAAATTAAAAATTTGGTTAA